TCTAAAATATATATATATATATATATATTATTGTGTAAAATTTTGGGCAACATTTCCCCATAAATATAAGCGTCCCCAAAGCCATAATAACCTGCTGAATACATTTTACAACCCATTAAATATAATAAGTGTAAATACATTGTAACACCAAAATTTATAAGTCGTGATTACATCGGTGCGTTCTTACATTTCTTCTGATAGTGTCCATATTGCCCACACCTAGCACATCGATTCTATCTTCGTGTGAACTCACATATGCTGGGAATGCGTTTTTGCTTTGGCCTACCCCTCTTTGGTACAACTCGCGGTGGAAGAAGGCGAACTTCCTTTACGTGATTCAGAATATCCCATTGCGAAGTATCCGGCACAAGATAGATTATCTCAGCATACGCAAGAGCCCAAACTTCTGTCCTGTAGTATTTTGAGCATAAATCATAGAGTGACATTCTTGCTTCTCTACAACATGATATTGCATGCTCGCATGGTATCTGCTCAAGGTCGAACACACGACAAGTGCAACTCCTCACTCCAATGTTGACAATTGCAGTGGCCTCTCCACCTGTCACTTGGAACTCAATAGTATTAAGTCTTGTGGCCGTTAGAAATCTTGCTTTGTTGTGCCTCTCACGAAGAGTTTTTTCCACACTTGGCGTTAATAATGTTTTTGTTTTAGAAGCTTCGACCTGCCTGTTATTAAACCACTCTGACATCTTCGCTTGTATAAAATTAAATAGGGCAATGACAGGGTAATCTCGAACATCTTTGAGCATTGTATTAACTGACTTAGACATGTTTGTGGTCATAATATTATATCGATTTCCTTTAAAATGAGCATGAGACCACATTTCAAAACGAACTTGCTCCTGTAGGTATCTAGCAACACTGGGATATCTTGCAGACAACTCATCAAACAAGACAGAAAACTCATCAATGCGGTAGGCCTCAGCAGTTTTAAAGAACAATGGCAGAACACCGCTACATCTGAAATTACTCTTGATGTTTTGAGACACATGCCATGTCCAACAACCGTGATGTGCTAATGAATAAACTGTAGACAATGCATTACTTATACTTTGATTCCTATCAGAAATAAAAACTAATTCCTCAGAATCAGTGATAATCACCTTCAAGTTTGAGAAGAACCATGTCCAAGATGCATCATTCTCTGAGTCTACAATGGCCTATGCGATGGGATAACAATGACGTTCACTATCCTGTGCAGTGGCAACTAACAACGTACCTCTGAATTTTCCCTTCAACCACGTTCCATCAACACTGATAACTTTCCTCATGCAACTAAAAGCTCGTATACAAGGTTCATATGCTAGGAAAAGATAGATAAAACGGTTCTGTTCATCAAAATGAATATTGGTGATGCTGTCGTGATTAGTAAGAGACACCATATGAAAGTATGATCGGAGCTTAGTGAAGCTTTCTTCGGCCGTGCCTCTTACGAGTTGAAGTGCATGCTCACGAGCCTTCCATCCTTTGTAATAACTGAAGTCGTCCCGAATTCGTCACGTGCATATTTCTGAATTGATTTCGGAACTGGACCCTGCTTCACGCTTATAAATTGGTTTTTCATGCAACTTCCAATAATGGAGTACGTTGCTTGCCTGTGCTTCGCTGAACGCTTTTCTAACGAGCAAGAGTGAACACCATTATATGTAAAGTACTGACCAACCTCTAAACTAGATCCGTCACTGAAGGTAGATCCATGAGATGATCCAAACTCAGTCTTGTCCATACAAACTAAAGGACCAGCAACTTCTACTTCATTTAAAATGGTAAGCGGTTGTGGCTCTAGCTGTGGCTGTGACTCTGGTTGTGGTTGTGACTGTGGTGGAATATCATTATGAGTCGAAAACTCATCTGTAGCTACATTACCCATAAAATCACGATAAAAAAAATCATCATGCAAAGGATTTCTCCTAATTTTGACTCCATCAATATGTTCTTCGGGATTCATAAACTTCCCATCCACTATCACGTGTAGCGGTACCTCGTGGGCTATATCCCTAAAGAATAACAAATCATCATTGTCTTTTATTACAACGGGCAACGATTTCTGTTTCAAATTCGGTACCCATGATAGCTGCAAAGAATGTTTTTGTCCATCAATTCTGCATTTTCTACAAATCTTATCAACGAAGGTTTCGAGAGTATCATTCTCATCCATATATATGCCAATTAAATTACAATCTGTATGCCACACCTAACAACTTTCAGTCTCATCCCATTTTCCTCCAATGTCAAAAAAAATCCTCCACTGAGCCATTATTTAGATTTTAAAACTGAAAAAATTTAATCAAGATAATAATATGTCATTAAACCAAACCAAATATCCCACGACCAGACTAAGAACATACCATATAATGAGAACAGACCAAAAGCAGACCATATAATAAGAACAACCCAAGAACAGACCAAGAACAGACTAAGAACCGACTGTGCAATAAGAACAGACTAAAAACTGACAGTGCAATAAGAACAGAGTGCAATAAGAACAGACCAAGAACAGACCATGTTATGAGAACAGACCAAGAACATACCAAGAACAGACCAAGAACCGACCATGTTATAAGAACAGACCAAGAACAGACCAAGAACCGACTACGAACTGACCATGTTATAAGAACAGACCAAGAACCGACCATGTTATAAGAACAGACCAAGAACAGACCACGACCGACCAAGAACAAACCTTTTTTTTTTCTAAACCTAGCGGATCTTCATCATATCAGACAATGTAAACTAGTCTTTTAACATGTAAAATTACTATTTTAATGGATTTTTAACTACATTCTCATCTTAAAAACATATGAACAACAACGAAAAACACCATGAGAGATATAGAAAATGAAAGACTTACTTAGTAGCTCTTCTTCAAACTTCGTTTTGGACGAGAAAAAAACGTTGAATGGGCAAGATAATAATATTAATGAGGTTATGTGTCGACGATGACTTGAGAAGAAGAGAGGAGAAATTGAAGGCAGCTGGGAGAACAAAATGACGCGAAATGAAAGATGAGGAGGAGAAAGAAAACCCTAAAAGCATAATTGATGACGTGGAATGCTGACGTGAAAGTTTATTTACCCAATTTATTTTTTTGGTGGTTTATTTACTTAAAAACACATTTTACTTAGTCTATTTATACAAAGTTCCCGAAAATTTTCATGGTCCTTTCTTTCTTTTAGAGTTTCTACATCTTCCCCAACTCCGTTTTGGTCCCATCCCGTACTGCGACTTCTCAGGTAGGTAGCTCTCTTGCGTTTATATTAAGCTTTTTGGTTCATTTCTTTTATATCAAGTCATTCATGGTGATTCAACTTTTGTGTTTTTTGCTTCTGCATTGAAATGGGTTTTCAATTTTTCCTTTTTTACTGAGAATTTTTTAGTTTTCCTGTGATGGGTATTTGATGAATTTTCACTTTTCGATTGCATTAATTGGTTGAGCTATCCAAAACATTCGAGCTCAAGTGGTAAAAGGTTTTTGAGGAGTGGCCTGGCCTGTCTTTGACCAAAACCTGAGTCTACTTGATGCTGTGCAAGAGAAGATCATGAATTGGGAATCTATTTCTTGTGGAATCCGTTATATACATGGTTGAATTGAACTTTGTAATCAGTATGTTTATTTTTTTTTCTCTTTTTTTCCTATCAATCAATGAGCAGATATGGATCTCTTTTATTGGAACAAAAAAAAAAAAAAAATTATGGCTACTTTGGTTCAATATATTAGTATTAATTGTAATTCATTTAAAAATATATATGTTTTTTTTAGTACACAATATTTGTATGTACAACTAAATACATGAATGTATTATTCTTGAGAATTTAAAATAAGATTTTTATGTGAAACTAAACACAATAATATATTATTCTTAAGAATTATATTACCTCTAATTACATTCTCAGGAATATGATTTATACTATACTGCATATCAAACGCTCCTAATTTCTTTAAGCGGGTGAAAAAAGAGGCCCTCGTAATCGACACACAAGATATGGATTAGAGTTAGAGCTCTAACCAAAGAAATAGCCGAAGAAACTTATCAAGTGTGCCTGCTCTTTTGGTGGATAAAATTTTCAAAGCAACATTAAAAAAGATCTATAGAAAGGTATATAAGGAGCTCCGAAAAAAAAAAGGGTAAAAAACTTAACAATAAAGCAGATACAGCAGCATAGTGAGAAATCTCGTGTTTTACAACGAGTAAAGTCATCGTCTAAAGGGGTGAAACCGAACAGCAAGAATGGCAATCGGAATGTGGCAGCCATCTTCCTCTAGTCCTTTTCTGTGCAAACAAGCTTCCTTTTTAGGATCTTATTTTCCTTCTTTGGCTCTATGTTCGTCTTTTTAAGCATTCCAACACGTGAACCTGATGTCAGATATGGTTGCTGCTGAACTAGCTTTGATCTGCATACCAACACTTCAATCAACCAAATGAGATTAGACTACTACTTCTCATAAAGAATGAACCAAGTGAAATGGTTCCGTGCGTAAAATCGGCTTAAATTAATCCCAGCACCGATTTTTCACTGTTTGAAGTTTAACATTAATATACACCACATGAAATGAAAATGACAAGGAACTGGATCATGTATCGCACTCTAAATATTGGAGGAAAAAAAAAGCAAAAAACTCACATTCCTTTTCCAAATGCTGCAGCTTCTCATTCGACTCAGTTTTCTCCTCTTGTTCAGCCGTTATACAATCCTTCACAGCTTGAATCTCAAGTTTATCTGTGTCATCATATGTTTAATAGACTAGAGTTACGGTTTTGAACCGACAAGAATCTGAATTGATCGAAATGATTGTAGTTGCTTAAAGAGTAATAAAGGCCTCACATTTAGATTCGAGGTCTAATTGGACTCCATCCAATTTGGTAGCTAGATAGTTGATGTGGGTTCTGTGAGCTTCTAAATCCTGCCGAAGGTGATTCACAGTTGCTTCATTTGTTGCCTTTTCAACTAGGAGGATTCTGATTAAAAAAACAAAAAACAAAAAATTGGTGCCAATTTAGTTTGTGGAAGAATATAACATGTTTGTGCATATCATAATGTCATCATTGATTGGTTACTCACCTGATATGGGCTTCCAAGTCTGCAATCTTTTTAGCATGTTCTTGCTTGATCAATTCCACAGCCTCACTTTGCCCCTGCTTTTACACACACACACACACACACACACATATATATATAATAAAATATTTGAGCTCCTCCTCAGTCCTAAACAATGGTCCGTCTTGTGTATAAATATTAAATTCAACTTCAGAAGACTATTTCCCAAACATGGTTGATTGCAAACTAACTGGAGAAGCATCTGATGAGAAACAAAAGAAAGAATTATGGGGAATGGATTAATTAGCAGTAAGCAGCAGTTTTTACATCATTCAATCTCTTCAATTGCTCCTTTAAGCTCTGGCACGCAGTACGATGTTCCACCTGCAAATCCCAAAAAGAAAAAAGGATTAACATGAACACTCAAAGATTATTATAGCTAGCTTTTATAACAATAACAATATGTTCCATGTGTTGTGTTGTAGGTTTTAGATAATAAAACACACATTCACATATAGCATATCCATTACCTGATCAACTATATTGTTTAAATATTCTGTGTAGAGCTTCGTAAGTCTCTCATTTTCTGCAAATTTAACATAACAACAACATTAACACACCCACACCCACTCTAATTCACTCACTCACTCTAAACTAAGCAACATTACTTATTTATTTATTATGCAGATAGATCTATTAGCTGCAAGGTATTAGATAAGATTATTTCTCTCTCTCTCTCTCTCTCTTTATTTTTTATTTTTATTTATTTATTTATTTTCCCTTGTGGACTCATACATTGATATATGAAAATGAAAATACACTATAATTAGATTATACTCGAATCAAATATTTGATTTCCTTGTCTATTCCTCTTCTTATTAGTTTGTTTCCTTTTCAAATTACAATCCTGTTCTTGAGGCGATACAATTATAAGCAAGTCTCTGTTCATATTTATTTCAGCAAATAAATTCGAAAAATCTAAAAATCAACAGCATTCTTTTCACCATAGAAAGCTCTGAGGAAAAGAGTGGAGTTTTAATTGGAGACCTCGTTTGAGAGTGTTGAGAGAGAGTTGAAGAGCTTCGCGCTTTTTGATTTCTCCATTACAATCGGATTTCAGCACCTGGATCTCGACCACTCCGCTCTTGAAATCCTGTTAAAAACATTTATTTAAAAACCATTATTCATTCATTTTCTGTTTGGTTCGCGAGAAAGAAAGTAAGAAAGAAAATTGAGAAGGTAACCTAACCTGGCAGATAAGGTCGAAGGTGGAGAGGAGAGACTCCTCCATTTCCCCCTCATCACTGATTCCATTTCCCCCCATTCAATCACTCAAATGATCAAATGCTGCATTGCAAAAACCTTTCTTCCTTCTTTTCATTTTTTTTGTTTCTTTCTTTTTAAGTAATAAATGATCGTCGCAAACTTGCATGCCAGTCCCTTCAGTTTTACGAAATCACCCACGCCACATCATAATGTAATGTCAAGCATAAAACTACAATGTGAAAGTGATTTCTTAAAATAAAAATAAATTTACTGATCAAATTTAATAAAAAAAAGGGCACGTCTATCGTAGCGTGACTTCCTTATTCCCTAAATTCAATCTAAATGAAGGTGCACCTGTCTCTCACACATCGGATTACAGCCAAAAACACAATTTAAAAAAATAAAAAACTGAACAAAAATAAATTCATTGCTTTGCGACCCACCACTGTTGCTTCGGTGAGATTCGTAGCGGATTGGGTGTTGGGATGAAGCTACTTGAGAAGATGGGATACAGAGGAGTTGAAAAGCAATAAGAAGTCGTGGCTTCTTTACCCTTTGGAGCTTTAATTTATGGCATATAGAGAGTCCTTTTGCATCCAATTCTCCTGTAAGTAAAGATCCAAAGCATGGTTTGATATCCAATATATTTTTTTTTATTTTCCCCAATTATTTATAGCGACTGAATTTGTGAATCTACAACTTTTAGTAATAACTTTTTCCCAACAACAAAAATTGACGACAAATTATTCAATTGAAAGGAGGACTAACACAGAGGATAGTTTAGAGTTGCTAATGAATGAAACACGTCAACTGACAACAAGATATTTGAATTTCCTTGAGCAAAAAGACAAGAGAGAAGATTAGTGTTTGGTGGGAGGGATAGTGGAAAATTTAAAAAAAAAAATGGAGAATGAACTTCTAATAACACTCTCTCCTCCCCAATTTCCCCACCACCAAACAATGCATTCCAATAATATCTCCTTTTCTACTTTAACATCCCTCCTTTATTGTCTTTCCTCGTGCTTTCCCATTCTACCAAACATAACACAAGGCATGACCTTAAAATGACCTTCCTTTTTTTTTTTTTTTTTTTTTTTTTTATTAGACAGAACTTATGACTTGAATTACAAGCAAAAAAAAAAAAAATTGGCAGAACGAGTCTGAGACTTCACCATTCACCAAGACAACATTAGTGTAAACAACAGCACACAACGACTGCAGTAAGAACATCATGTACAACAACGTTTGTTGCCGATGTTTACGTGTTTGAAGAAACTGAAAACCATCACCCTGACGATGACTGCCACTCCCACAGAACTTGCTCATCGATTTTGCTCAACTTCTCATCATCGAGACGCTTCCATGTCTTGATCCTCTTCACTCCCATCCAATCCCTTTCTCCTTTCCCCAGCTCTGTTAACACGACCCTTGCTCTCCTTGGCCACCCAGCCTTCCCGTAACCGTGGTATCCGAAGCCCCCACCATAGCAAAACCATATCCCATCTAGGTTACCACAAAAATCATTGGTGTGATCATGGCCCATGAACACAGCCTTCACGTCTCCCGTCGAGACCAAGGTCTGCAGAACTCCTGAATTCACTGATGAACATGCCACAGCCTCCTGAAATTGACCGATAACATTTTTGTAGTAGAGCTGTCGAACTTCCGGGATTGGAATATGAAAAAACGCGAGCGCAGGAGGTGTTGGGGGCATCAAAGTATCCTCCTTTTGGCCCTGTTAGTGCGTGACCTGCAACAGCTTAATGAAATCTAAATCTAGGAAAAGTTGTTTTACTCTTATTATTATTTTCAATTTTCATGTCAGAAAGAAAGAATATTGTTATACCTTAAATTCATGGGAAAGATGAGATATCCAATGGAGTTGAGATTCCTTAATCCATCCATAAGTACGAATTCCATCAACTATCTCCCTGTCTCCAGTGTCAAGAAATAATAGATTGAGGAGAGTGGTGTTGGCCAAATGGGAACCCGGAGGGCCAAACACTCTGAGATTATAATTTCCGAATCCGTCAATATGAGAGAAGTGTTCGTGTTGAGGGTTAGTTTGTGAGAGAGAATAATCCATAAGAGAGATGAAGAACATCAGTTCTTCCCGGTTCATGGTAGATTCATGGTCGTGGTTTCCCAGAACTGCTGCCCAGGGAAGTCGAGATTCCATGGCGGGACTGAATGCACGGAACAGTGATTCAGCAGCATCAGTAGCACTTGAGCCAAATATGTTATCTCCTGTGTAATAATAACATTAATAATGTGTGTGTGTGTGTGTTGGATCAAATCAAGTACATCTAGGTCAAAGTATATTAACGTTAGATGCATAAGATAAAGAGTCATCATCATGAATTGTTGCTTAGAGACAAGAACATCGTTAAACCTGACAAAACAAGTCATGTCCTGATTACTATTATGTTCAATTCATTATGAACTCAACTCACACACAAACGAATCCAAAAAATGTTAAGCCATTTCTCTTGGGTAGAATTATTATTATATAATTTGGGATTTTTCAATCTGTTGTTAGAATACTTACAAGTAGAAGTCAAGAGTGATTATTGTTATAGTTCGGTCGTTAGAGTGAATAATATACTATTGTACAACAAAGTAGTAAGTTATGTAAGAGAAAATAGAAATAGAGAAAAGGAAGGAAGGAAGGAAGGGGGTTTGAATTTAATAGGAAACGAAATGTAGAGAGAGAAAGAGAAAGCAAGAGAGAGAAAGAATTTGTGTAAAATGATTTCTGTTATGAATGAATGAATAATCTGGAAGTTTGTTACACAGCTACTTAAATACTATATACTAACTCAGATGGTTAGCTAACTAAGCTCATACCAAACTACAGTTAAGCTCTAACTAACTCAAGCTAATTACAACTGAATTAGTAACAGACTAACTATCTCTAACACCCCCCCTCAAATTCGTAGTGGAAAGACTTTTCACTGTGAGTTTGTTCCTCAAAAGTGCTGTACTGTGAACTGGAAATTGCCTTTGTAAGAACATCTGCAACTTGATCGTGAGAGGGAACATGCTTCACTTCCAATTGCTCTTGCAGCGCACGTTCTCAAACAAAATACAAGTCAAGCTCAATATGTTTGGTTCTTGCATGCAACACTGGATTGGCAGAGAGCATGACTGTGCTCAAGTTATCACACCAAACAACAGGTTTCTTTAGTTAACTTAACTCCAAGTTCACCAAGTATTGATTGAATCCAGGACAATTCAGCAACCAAGTTAGCTAGGCTGCGAAATTCAGCTTCGAAGGACCTGGAGACAGTATGCTGTTTCTTTGAAGTCCAGGCAATCAGATTTGGACCAAAACAGACACAATGACCGGAAGTGGATCTTCTATCATCCAAATCAGAAGCCCAATCAGCATCACAATATCCTACTAAGTTTAACTGCCCTGTTGGTGGTCCTTGCAAATGTAAACCATAATCCAAGGTTCCTGCTAAATACCTCAAAATATGTTTCACGGCTTTCCAGTGTACTTCAAGTGGTGCTTTGCATAAACTGACAAACTTTATTAACACTAAAAGCAATCTCAGATCTAGTAATAGTTTACATATTGTAAAGCTCCAACAACACTTCTATACAGTTGAGGACTCTCCACAGGATCACTTCCATATGCTGTGAACTTCAAACCATGAGTCATAGGAGCTGACACAGCCTTTGCAAACTGCATTTTTGCTTTACAAAGCAAATCTATTATGTACTTAGTCTGAGAAAGATGTAGGCCATCAGAAACATGTTTCACTTGGATTCCAAGAAAGTAATCAATAAGGCCGAAGTCCTTCAAAGCAAATTTGCTGTTCAACTGAGCAATTAAGGCTGAAATTTGACTATCATCATTACCAGTGATCAAAATATCATCTACATAGACTAAGACAAAGAGGCAGCAATTGGAAGTGTTCTTGATAAAGAGGGACTGATCAGACTTGGCTGAGACAAAACCAAAGGACATAAGAGCTCCATACAGTTTCTCAAACCAAGCTCTAGGAGCTTGTTTGAGTCCATAGAGTGACTTATGTAATCAGCACACTAAATGTGGATTTTTGGGATCCTCGAACCCCAGAGGTTGTTGCATATAAATTTCTTCAAGTAAATCCCCATTTAGAAAGGCATTATTTATGTCCAACTCACGAATAGGCCATTTCCTTGTCAAAGCCACAGTGAGAACAATCCGAATAGTTATTGGCTTAACAACTGGACTAAAGGTTTCAGTAAAATCAAACCCTGCTACTTGATGAATACTTTTTGCAACCAACCGGGCCTTATACTTATTAATAGTGCCATCTGGATTTTCCTTAATCCTGAAAACCCACTTACAGCCGATTGCCAATTGCCTTATATACTCCTAAGAGTTCGAAAAGAATAAGGATATTGATATTTAATACATTCGATCAAGTGACAATGCAGTAGATTTTTTCACAAAGGTACTTCCCACTACAACATTCAGAAAGCATATCAACAATATCGGAATGCGTCATCTGCGAGATTTATGAGGAAAGCCTATACATGTCAACTTGAGGAGAGTTTACATGGATGTACTCCTTTTCCCTTATTATGATTTTATTCTACTGAATTTTCCTGATAAGATTTTTAATGAGACATCAAAAACACATATAGATAAATAATGTACTCTTTTTTCCTTTTGCTATGATCAATGGGTTTTTCCTAGCAAGATTTTTTAATGAGACAATATGAATGGTGAACATCTAAGAGAAAGTGTTATGAATAGTAGCTGTCAATCTCAGTCAAAATTACTATGCAAATTAGTCAAAGTTATTATTAATATCATAATCTTACTGTGCAAATAGTAAGTATTGTGTAAGTCGTAATCGTGAATAGTGCTGAAAATTTTTCTTATACAGTTTTAAGACTTTCCATTTTATATAGTACCTCCACAAAATGAATGAAACTCTCTCTTTGCATTTTTTTAGTTTTCATAGCAAATAATAATAATAATAATAATAATTAGTGTTATTAAATAATATAATAATAATAATAATACTAACCAGTAAAAGCAATGAAATCGGGGTTTTCGGAATGGATCAAAGTGCGAAGAAAACGAGTGGAGTTGAGATCGGAGCAATAACGGAAGTCGGAACTCGAGACGTCTCGGCAGCGGGTGGTGCCTCCATTGTTCCCGTAATGCATATCAGCCACCTGATTTTGATTTTGATTTTGATTAAATCAATTAATGTTAATAAGTTTTAGTTTAGAAAATCAAACAAAGAAACAAAAAAAGAAAAGAGAAGAAAAGCAATTATTCATTCAGAAAAAGCAAAAGCAGACCTGGAGGATCTTGAAGGAAGCATGACCATCGGCGTCGGAGCGGAAGCGAAGAGGAAGAGGGGGGTTGCGCTTTCGAAATTGCTTATTATTATTATTATTATTATTATTATTATTATTATTGTTATTATTATTATTATGGAAATATTGATATTGATGAATTTGAAATGGAAGTAGAAGATGATAATGGAGGAAATATAGAATGCCCAAAACCACCCCCATGTACACCAAATGGAACCGCCATGAATATGATAATGATGACGACGACGACGATGATGATGATTCCATCCACACTCCTCCACAGACTACACTACAGAGAGGAGGGAGCGACAAAAAGAAATGTATTGTGGAATTTGGGAAAGTCCACTTTTCTTTCTTTCTTTCTGCTATTCTTTTCTTTCTTCTTCTTTTTTTTTTTTTTTTTTTGGAGCAATTTCTGCTATTCTATTCAATACAAAAAAGGTTAAGGTTAATAAAAACGACATCAAAGTAGGTGTCGTATTCTCATTTCTTCACTCACAATTAATAAAGTTTTACTTTTTTTTTTTTTTTTTTTTGGTGTTAATTAATACGTAGGTGTCGAGTTCTCATTTGGGAAGGGAAGGGAAAATGGCGGAGAAAGATTGCTGCTACTCGTGCTCGTCGGCGTCTGAAACGCTGCGATGGATTAGCGCCGTCGTCGAATTTCTCAACACTTACTCCTTCTTCAGAGACGCTCATTTGGTGAACTTCTTCCGTGACAAACTATGGGAATCACTGGACAGCGACTGGATTGAATGCCTTGGGAAGGAGCCCGTCGAGATCCTCCTTCAAATTCCGTCGGGTCTCGTCAAACATGACTGGCCTCCTTCTCTCAAACACTTTCTTCTCACTTTGAACTCCCTCGTCTTCCCTCGCCAACACTCCCACTCCTTACAAACGGTCTGTCCTGTCTCCTCTTCCATCATCTTTGATTTTCCTACTCACTACTCAGCACTCCCTGAATCCCTAAATCCCTAAATCCCTAAATCCGTCATCTTTGTTTATTAATTAATTTTTGTTTTTAAGGTATTACCGGAGTGGTTGAACTTGAACATGGAGAAGAAAATAAAGATAACTTCGGTTAATGGCGTTCTGGGGCAAGGCATGAATCCCAAGAAGAAGCATGAAGTTGAAATTCTCTCTGCTCTCCTCAGTTGTGTTGCTCACTCCGTCGGAGCTCATACAATTATTGACGTCGGTGCCGGTCAGGTAATCATACTCATTCAATGCCAGATTCTTGTTTCTTGAAATTAGTTTTGTTTCAATGCATAAGTTGTGTTTGTTTACGAATTTCCTTTCATTAATTAATTGATTGTTTTCAGGGGTATCTTTCACAAGTTCTTTCGTTCCAGTACAACCATTCTGTACTTGCAATTGACGCTTCCTCTCATCACGGAAGCGTTACCAATGCGCGTGCTCAGCGAATCTACAAACATTACGCTTTTCTCATGCGTAAATCCAAGTATTCATACAAAACTCTTTTTATTATTATTTTTTTTCCTTCTTTCCAAATTTCTTTTCCTCTTTTGTTCAACTCTTTTTGAGATGGGGAGTTTTTACAAGTTTGCTTCTTTGATTCAATCTCAATAGGATCAACAAATGCCTTTTTTTTTAATTTTTTTATTTTTTTATAATGAGTGAATGAAATGCCTTTTCATTTATTATGTATTTCTTGGTAGATCAGAAAAGACAAGTCTGATGGTGCCTAAGACAATCACATGCCGTGTCATGTCCATAGATATGTTAAAAGATTTGATCACGTCCGAGGCAACAACATGTAGTAAAGATAATGGCAGTGAACAACATCGCGACGACTACGGCGACATGGGACTGCAACAATCTTTGTGTAGGGTGAACGATGATACCTCCTCGATGCTTCTTGCTGGGCTTCATGCTTGTGGAGATCTCTCTGTAACGATGCTCAGGCAAGTGCCAATTTTTGTATTTTACTTCCTTTGTGTGCTTTTCAACAACTATTTTCAATGTCTTCATTTGCTGTTATATATTCATTATTGCCAATATTCCTTTTGTCAAATACTTGAATGTAAGAAAACCACATCTTTTATCCTTTTTAGGACCTTTTTGGGGTGCAAAGAAGTTAAAGCAATTGTCAGCATAGGTTGCTGTTACAACCTATTATCTGAAGAGGGTTTCGACCACGTGGAGTCTCAAAACGGTTTTCCGCTGAGTCGTGGTGTCAAATCCGCAGGCTTATCACTTGGAAAAAGTTTGCGCGATCTTGCTTGTCAGGTAGAGGCATATCTTCTTCTTTGTCTCTACATTTGAGGTATTTTTTTTCTTCTGCTTCTTTTCTTTCTTGGAGGAGGAGGTGTTACGCATGGGGTTATAAGTTATTCTGCAAGGTTGCACCGTTCTACTTTTATATTCTAAACACATTAACACTTTTTTGGAAAAGAATTCCCCAAAATCTACCCGAATTCCAATTTCTACTAAATGTTCTACCATCTTTTCCTCTTTTTTTATTTTATTTAAATCTTGTTAGAGTGCAGAGAGGTGGAGATGTCTGGAAGCAGATGATGGTATACACAACTTTGAGTTGCATGCTTTTCGTGCTGCTTTTCAGATGGTACGCCATATTTTTTACTTTTCTCATTATTGCTGTCTTTGCCGTTACATTTTTTAATCATCAGCTTAAATTTTGACACTATTTGTTCAATTGATTATATCTTACTAGGATTGAGATCTTCGTAAAAAGATTACTATAAATAAGCTATTTGATGCAGAGAAAGTGTTCCGATTGAAAATCTTTCATCAAACCTCTGCTATGATACAAAGATAAATTTTTTTAGCAAAGTTGCATGCCTTATAATTTACCATGATACTGTTGTTTTACTTGCATTCACGAAACATAAAGTGTCTCATGAATGGTACATTTGTCGTTGCAAGATTCTTAAGAAATACTATCCAGAAGTCATGATATCAAGTCCATCAATTGGACGCCAAGGGAAAGCTTTGCGTCGCCGACAGAAAAGGGAGACCCTGGAATCAGTGCCATGCCACAAAGATAGCACATGTGCATCCTCATCTCATATACAGTCAAGGATGGAAGACAATTGCCCTCCTGTAAAATCCACAGAACCAGAAACTGGTAACTGTTTAAAGAATCAGTATATACTTTTTTTTTTAGTAAAAAGTTGTGCTTACACATTTTATATCCAATGGTACTGTTGCATTGGTGGTTAGTTGAAGCATGGATTTTGTACTTAATTAATTCTGAAACTTCTAACATTAAGAATTGTTGTGCAGGTGACCGTTCTAGCTCTGGATTTGAGACAGCATCATCCTTATTTCGAGATTCTAGAAAGGGTGATAAATATTCACTTTTCCAGAGATATAGCCTGTCTGGACTACGCCGTCTTGGTCTCAAGCCTTTGCAGGATATAGATTTTTGCAGAATATGGGATGAAGTCGAGCCTTTTTCTGTATGTTTTCTGCTGAATACGATTATTTCTTTCTGCACTTTTGTCTAGTTTCTAGTTTTTCTCTTTTCTAAGTGAAGGGCTGGCCTTTCCTGTCGGGAACAAAATGCTTCATAAACATCTCAACCATTTTGAGACATTGGCTGCAATTGGTTCTTACCTCACTGCAACCCAAGCACATGAAATCACAGAATCTGGACTGCAGGGTACAATTTCATTTGGAAGACTTGTAATTTCATGAACGGCTTCAAGACTTCTTTCCTTGATGCTTGTTTGAGAAATATACCCCAAAATCTAATCACCAGAAAGATTTAACGTAAACCAGAATGCAAGCCTCACGATTTGACCAACTTATGGTTTACCCACCCCACGTGCAAGCTGCAGGCTGCAGCGATTGACCAATCGAGTGCCGACTGAAAACAATTGCATTAATGTGAAGGAAACGATTCAGTCAAATTACTGAAATCTAGTCAGCTGCTTTAACAAATTTACTGTTATTACTATTAGAGTTGCTACTTGAAAAATAAATTTATATCCTTCCTGATATGTGTTTAATAATGAATGAACGGCCTATAGTGGTTGAAATTGTTTTTGATAGCCATGCTTATTGATTCCATACAGGAAATGATTGGACCTTATTGGTCCCTTCGAGCTGCACTGGGGCCGCTCTTGGAGACATTTATTTTGCTGGATAGATTGTTGTTCCTTCAGGAGGCAGGAAATTCAATTGAAGCAATGATGTTACCAATTTTTGATCCTGAATTATCCCCAAGAAATGTTGCCATTATTGCCAAAAAGATATGATACAAATGTCACAGAGTGGAATGAGTTTATATGGTAATAGTCTTTCCCTCACCAATCTCTTTCTCCCTTACTATACTCGTGCATTTAGTGGTAAGACTTTCTGACATTTTCTATTGGAAGACAGATGACCGCATTTGACGGGTTGGTTTCTGAGTTTTTACTTTTAAGTTTCTGATGCTTCCCCATGCTTGGTGGTTTTCAATCTAATAATAGACTTGATAGCATTACTTTTGTAGAGCTTAATTTTCGTGATCTTACTGTTGTTCTCAAGGTTTTAAAATGCGGAATCGGGCCTCGAGGCGTTTTGCCTTTACGAGGCAAGGCGTAAGCCTCAAGGCGCTTTGAGGCGTGAGCCTCAAAAAGTGGCTTTAAAAAAATTGAAAAAAAAATAGTAACAAAAACTAAATCCATACTTAATAATCATTAAAAACAAGAAATTTAACCAAACATTCACATAAAGAAAAGTCTATTTCACTACTAGAAGCATCAAAAAGACTAAATAATTATCAAAGCCTAATATCATAAGGTTCATAATGCACGTGAAGGAGAGGTGAGGTGCGAAGAAGAAGAAGAAGGAGAGATCGGCTGTGCTGGCTGGTCTGCTTCTTTTTATAAGGGGCCTGACTACTTTGGGCCTTTTAAAATTGTTGGGTCCGCATCTTTTGGGTTTAAAAAACCCCCCAAAATCCCCATTCCAATGAGGCGGATGCCTCAATAACCGCCTGAGGTGGCACCGCTCAAAGGCATGTGCCTCAAGTGGCTGAGGCGCACGCCTCAAGGGTAGGAGTTGAGGCGCTTTTCGAGCGCCTCGCCACGAGGTGCTGCTCAAGGCGTGCGCTTGAGGTGCTTTTTAAGACCTTGGTTGTTCTGAAATCTTCCAAGTAGTTTTGAAGGACCGCCTAACTAATAATTGCAGCCAGACTCTTCGATTTTTTTTTTCCCCCCACTCTTTGATGGCTTTAGGAGGATGTCATTTCCTACTCAAGTTGGATACTCTTTTTTCTCCTAATGAAGCTTTAATAAGTTCAGTAATTGTCTCTTTCTTTAATGACATTATGTTTTGACCTGCATTCAGTTTGTGCATCCATGTTTCCAAAATGCGTTGTCTACCTTTTTGCTAATAATAGTTTTTTCTTCCCTTCTTCCAGGTGTAGCAATTGACTAACAAGATTTGTCTAATCATTTTCTATCGTCTCCCAAAGAAACTTGTGGTGGAAAAGTTTTAAAGACGATCATATCAAAGATTTGGAGATGAGCTACAACAAAGTTTTGTACGGATAATATAGCATGAATGAAACTAACAAGCATGGATTCTTGTCATTATTAGAGTGGTGAAAAAATGGCGTCCGCTCGAGGTAGGTCACATGTTCGAGTTTAAATGCCTTTTTTGTTGTGTTAGACAACTTGTTATTCTTTGACTTTGTTGTCCCTTCCATTAGCTGATAATGATATGGCTTTGTTTCGAGGAAGAATATCCATCACTAAGAAGTGGATTCGCTTGTAAACTCTTTTTTTAGGAATCTGAGCATGCAATTGTCACTCTCATGGACATGGTTGATTTTTGTCCCAACCCAATTACGACTTGTTAGAAATTCTATTTCTTTCCACTTCTTTTGACTGGTCAGGGACAAGAGAGGAAATGCAAGCAATGACGGATGTCCATATGCCATATATAGATAGGCCGGTCAAGTGAGGGCATCACTCAAATTTTTGCCCCATTTAATGTCTTGTAGACTTGTTTCTTTGGAAAAAATATCCAAAACGCCCTTGTTTTTTAAATTAGACTTAAAATATCCTCTAAAGTAATTAAATTTTGAAAAGGGAAAATACACGATATAGCATAATTTTTAATTTAGTGTAAATTATAGCATGTTTTGATTTTTAATTGTAATATAAATACTGATTTGCCAAATTTACCCTTGTTTCTTAGGGTTTCATTTGTTTTTTTTTCTTTCACACTCAGCCTTAGCCGCCTATCTCTCTCTCTCCTCTTCCTCATCCCTCTCCGGAAAAGGTTGCCAGCGTTGGAGCCGGTGGTTGGCCGCCAATCGCCGGAGTCGGCTATAGTGGACTTGATTATTAGGAGAATAAGAGAGGGATGGAAAGGAGTCTTAGGGGTATTTTTGAGTTTTTAATAATGTTTAAAACTTAAAATACAAAATTATGCTATAATCTACTATCTTAAAAAAAATGCTATAATTTACTAAACATGCTACTAAATATGTTATTTTCTTTATTCTCCCTTTTAAAAATAACAAGATTATCCTTCCCAATCTATATTAAATATTATTTTAGATATGATTCAACTAAAAAGTTAAACAAAACAAATTTAAAAATGTTCAAACAAATATTTCAATTATTTAGAGAAATTTTCATTCTTTAAGATTTATTTTATAAGAATTTATTTTATCTAATATTTTTTTGAATGAGAAAATTCATTTAATAATTAAGTCAATACACTCAAATCAGTTGCTCGAGCTTCGTCTCCCTTCGCCATTACAGAATTCGTTTTTTTTTTTTTTTTTTTTTTTTTAATTTTTTATCTGCATTCATATGTACGTCCTTGATAAGAAGAAGTTTAGATGGAATAGATAGCTTTCTCTACGTACCTTTTGACTGATATAATACTTTTCTTTTTTTCCAAAGTAGTGCTGGAGCATTTGGCTAACAAGATTGATTTGTCTGATCATACGTTTTTGAATTGTCCATTAATGAAGAAATTAAAATTTGTGGTAGCAGAGTTCCCAAGGAAAGCCAGTCAAACTAATATATAAAAGATTTGGAGACGAGCTGCTAAAACAAAAGTGTTTCATACGGATGATATACTGTGAATGCAACTAACATGATCTATTCTTGTCATTTCTCATTAGTTCGTTAGCACGATGACAAACGGCGTCTGCTCCAGGGACGACACGTGTTTGAGCGAGTTTGAATGCTTGCTTTTTTGTTTTGTTTTTTTTTTTTTTATAATTGAATGCTTGCTTTTTTGTTTGTTGTATTTGACACCTCTCATTTTATTGGGCTGGATTAGTATTGTTTTTAAAATGATTTTATTTTTATTATAAAAATAAAAATAAAATTATTTTGATAATTATTTTAAAATTGATTTTAAAATTACGTTTAATTAATTTTTTAAAAAATTATTTTGAGTATAATAAAAAATTAAAATTATGTTTAATTATAATTATTAATTAATATATTATAACATTATTGATAAGTACTAGAAAATGAAAACAGAAAAGAGAAAATAATTTTTAATTATTTTTTAATTCTTTCATAAAAATCATTTTTACTGTTTTTTTTTATCGTTTTAAAATATTTGCTAAACAAATACGGTTTGCAAACCGTTTTCATTTTCGTATCTTAAAAGACATGCATAAATACTTGTAAAAACAATCTAAAACTAATTCTAAACGCAACCGTTATTTTTTGACTTGTTTTCCAGCTTAGTATTAAATTTGTTGTAATATTAGCTGACCATGCAAGATACATACAAATTAGAAACTTTGTTTTTAAGGTAATTTTGACAAATATCCTTTAAAAGTACATGAGTAAGGATTTTTATATTCTACTATATAACTTTTTTAGTCAAATAATTACATTAATAAAAAAATATTTATTAAGAGTAAAGAGTAAAAATTCAGTGTCATGCACTTACAAAGATAAAGTTTTTTTTTATTTTTTATTTTATTTTTAAGAAGAGAAGCTATGAAAGAGGAAAAAGTGAATTTCGCTTGCAATGCAAACTCCTTATTAAGAAGCTGAGCATACAATTGTGGATATGTGCGAGGTCATTCTCATGCCCCGGGCATTCATTCTTGATCTTTTGTCCTAAACCCTACCCAAACTCAAGTACTGATGATGTTTGACACCACTTGCTTGCTGGTATTATATATCTATTTCTTTCAACATCGTTTGACTCGTCTTTTATTTATTTGTTTGTTTTGAATAACATGCATTTTTTACTATTATTGTTATTACAAACTTTTTTCCAAATTCGACAAAATAATGGCTGTTTTGATTTTTTTTTTCTTTTCATTTTTTTTCGGAGCTTTCTCGCACGATGCTTAGCTTAAGGGATTGTATTTTGACTTTGAAATGAGAAAATTTCAACTTTAATTATTGTGTTTTCTAACTGCATTATTAATGTCACAAACCAACATTTTAATATCACTACGAAAAATAACTTACAGAATTGTTACGAAAAATAACCTACAGAAAAAAATGGAAATAAACCTTTGCACCAGATTTAATGCCCAAGTTTTACGTTTTCTTGCTTACCTAGGGCCATTGTAAAGTAGAGAAGCTTTATCTAAATGTAATTTACAAAAAAAAAAAAAAAAAAAAAAAAAAAAAAAAAATCAAGCCAAAAAAAAAAAAAAA